TGTGTGTGTGTGTGTGTGTGTGTGTGTGTGTGTGTGTGTGTGTGTGTGTGTGTGTGTGTGTGTGATCTTAATAGGGGAGATGTTTAAAAATAATTTTTTCTGTACAAAGTTTCAGAGCCTTGGGTTTAGATCCAGACTTCTTTAACTCTTCTCGTTTGGTTCTGCCTTTCTCTCATGTGAATAAATGATCCAAACTGCTGTGTGATGATGAAGCTGCTGCTCTTCCTCCTTCAGGCTCTCTGCATGCCCACCTTCCAGCTGCTGGAGCAGCCCAACAGTCTGAGGAACCACCCTGACACCGTGGACGACCTGTTCAGACTGGCTACAAGGTGAGTGCATGTCCTGATCAGCTGTAAAAACCTGTCCTCACTTGTCTCTTTCTGGACTTGTGTGCACCTTTGACCATGTGGTTTCTGACTTTGTCCCTCCAGCTACAGATACTTTAAGTCCTGGAGGTTGTGAGATGGGACCTGCATGGATCAGACCTGGTCTGAGCCAGCTGTCTGATCCTTGTGTTCCACTTGTCTTCCTGCTTGGAGTTGTCCTGTAACAACCTGCAGAAATGTTTTCTGTCCTCAGTCTGGCCTTGTTTAGGACTGATGGTGACCATGCTGTTGGTTCTTCATCAAACCTTCAAACATCTGCTCCCAAATCTGCAGGAAGTTCACCTGCTTCTAGCCTAATGTCTCTGGGCTTGTCCTCTCGTCTCTTTGTGTCCAGGTTTGTCCAAAGGAGTCCTGTCACTTTACTGAGCAGCAGCATCATCGTTCATATCATCCAGTGCGCCATCGCTGCCACCTCATTGGACCACAGAGACGCCAACTGCAGCGTGATGAAGTTCATCCGTGACCTGATCCACACCGGACTCTCCAACGATGTGAGTCCACTGAAACTCCCCAGGACAACATGGTGATGATGTTCCCAGGCTTTAAAATGTCTTTATGTCCAGCACGAGGAGGACTTTGAGGTGAGGAAGCGTCTGATTGGTCAGGCCATGGAGCAGCACGGCCAGCAGCTCGTCAGTCAGCTGGTGCACTCGTGTTGTTTCTGTCTGCCACCGTACACCCTGCCCGACGTGGCCGAGGTTCTGTGGGAGGTCATGCTGTTCGACAGGCCTGTGAGTACCTGTGTGGRCTCGTACCTGCAGGTTCTGATGTCTGCTGGGTTCTGAACGGGTTCTCTTCATCTTCTAGATATTCTGTCGCTGGTTGGAGAACGCACTGAAAGGTTTACCAAAGGAGACATCAGGAGGAGCTGTGACCGTCACCCACAGACAGCTGACCGACTTCCATAAACAGGTCACCAGGTGAGTCACAGACAGGTCGCAAGGTGAGTCACAGACAGGTCGCCAGGTGAGTCACAGACAGGTCGCCAGGTGAGTCACAGACAGGTCGCCAGGTGAGTCACAGACAGGTCGCCAGGTGAGAGACTGAGGCGTTCAAGGACCTGTCCAGTTTACAGAGACTGAGGCGTTCAAGGACCTGTCCAGTTTACAGAGAGTTGGGGGAGAGTTTCGACTCGTCCTGAAGTCACAGCTCACCTGAGCTCACCTGAGCAGCAGCAGAGAAGTGCTTCATTGGGAACTTGAACCTTTTTTAAACAGTGAAAGACAAAGTTTGTGACAGTAAGGTTTGAAGTGGAATCAGTTTGTGTTTGTTGTGTTTTCAGTGCTGAGGAGTGTAAAC